AGGAATATAGTTTCTAGAGTCTCAAACTCTAAGAAACTGTGGACCCTTTGCAAATTCAGAGACTAAGAACCAAAAATAGGATTCATTATGAATTGGAGGCATTTCTCTCATTTTAGAGGAGAAATTCCTGCTTTGGAAAAATTCCTGTGATGGAAAATGCCCAAATGGTGAATTCAGACTAAGAATTCAAGGACCAAACAAATAAATAAAGAAGGTAAAAGATGCTGAAGATTTCATATGATACACATAATGATATGGCTTACCCATACATTCTAAGATAGACACACAAAGGCAGATTTAACCGGGCTAAGATAAAATTAACGTTGTGTGTGAGGAGGCAGTAAGTAGAGAATGAAGTCTAAGTAAAAATACCAGGAACAAAAAAGATACAAGCAACCAATCAAGGTTCTCTATAACTTAGACTCTATCTATTTTTTCCCCAATTTCTTTCTGTTCCCTTTCATACATTTGTGCTTCAACTAACTAACCTACACATCCTCCTTTAATATCACAAAAGTTCCCATTTCTGTGTTTATGCTGAGGCCTTTCCCTGAAATATTTATTCCCCATACATCTACCCTTATCCTGGCAATTCAAATTCTCATCCTTGAAGACCTAGTTCAAATGGCACTTCAGCTAGGAAGTTTTCTTTCATTCCTGTAGGTATAAATGAATTGTCCATAGTCTACAATGTGTATCATATTTTCATTTTTGTCATTTTTATTAATTTAACAAATATTTGAGAATACATGCCAGGGTCAGTAAATACTTTCTATATTTATATACATGTTTTATCTACCTGTTATACTATTATCTTTTTGAGCACAGATTCTTATGTTGGTTCATATCCGTTCTGACTCACAGTAACCAGTATTCTGCCTTAACCTCAGTAGTCACTCAAACATGGAAGGCACACTATTCAAAAAAGATGGCTCTATGTGGGGTTGGAGACAGCTATCATAATAGGTATGCTTCACTATAGACAGTGCAGTAATAAAGGAGGGAAAGAGATGGCATTTAAGAGGGGTCTTAGAAATTAGGGTAGGCTTTAGAATTTGAGATAGCAGAAATATTTCATTTTGATTGAATATGGGGTTCGAAGAAAAGCAGAAAAAGGTAAGCTTAGAAAAATTTTAAAGATCAACTGGGAAGGTCTTAATTCCAAGCAAAAGGATCTAAATTGTTTTCATAACCAAGGAGGAATGATTAAAAGTGCTAGAGATCTCCCTGATGTATGTTTAAGTAGGAGCAAGAGAAACGAGAATAATAGATAGATTGGGCAAAATTAAAAACTGAAAAATTAAACCAGCCTCTATTTCCAGCTTCTTTACTTTATCCTCACTTTTTTCAACTTTTTTTTCAAGTTTTAGGTGGATGACTATGTTCCCTGAGCTATAAGCTAAAGAACTAACCTACATAAACACACTTCAATTCAGTAATCCAGTTTTTAAACATATAGCAAAATCAATCTGTCATATTTCATGTAAATTGTGATTGTGCTTTAGATTATGACAAGGAAGCAGAAAACTTCACTGATACTCCTTTCCAGGTGTTTGCCATCCCACATCTCTTATGGCAGTGTTCTAGCAGGTAAGAATTATTAGCATCTCCTTTGCCTTCTTCTCAAGCTTACTCTTTTTCAGTTCTTATCTCTGCTAGACCCTGCTAGATCTCTTGATCTATCAGCTTGCTGTCCTGAACCTTCAGGTTCATCTATTCATACATTCAAAAAGTAGAATCACCTTGATGAGAGGGAACACTCACACAAAGGCTGCTTTACTGGAAGCAAACAGACTCAGCTGTCTTCTGGGATGCCTGGGACACCTGTCCTATGGAACTTCTCTCACTGAAGGAGTGAAAAAAGTCACATACCTAGAAGTTTTGCAATAGCTCCCTTTCTTGCCAATTTCTCTTCCCATTCTTTGGGACCGAGAAGTCAATTAATCAGGCCCCAAATACAATTCCTTCTGCCATCTTTTAGGATCAGTCCTATAAATGGGAGAGTCTGAGTAGACTTCCATTTAATGGAAGATAATCACTGACCAAAAATATCTCCCCATATAACCTAAAATTCATCAATTTGGGATTCATTTGAGTTAAAAAACAAACAAAACAACAACAACAAAAACAAACAAACAAACATGACTCTGGACAAGATAAGTTAGAAGGGACTTTGCAATCAGCTTCTACATTAGGGAAACAATCTAACTGATCTGACCCACTTGAAGAAAATGGGAGTGTGATTTGAGGGGAAAGGGTAAGGGAGAAGGACAAAGTATAGAAAATCTTTAGGCCATTTTGGAACATGTTGTGTTTCCAATGAAAAATCCAAGGAGGGTAAGAATGAGGGCACTGGGATCCTGGAAGCTAGCAAATAAAGGCTAGCCAAGCCAAGATAAAGGAATAAGAAAGAGCCATAGCTCAAAAAGTTTAGTGAATGAGCTACAAAGGTTGAATTTTCCTTGGAAATTTCCAATGGCTTTCTCCAAGGTCCTCATGTACTCCTAAAGGTTCAACCCAGCTCTCACTTTCTGTGGGACCATTCACAAAAAAGTGGAATGTACCACAACCTATTTCACCAAATGAGGCTTGGAGTGGTGGATATAGAGCTAACGCCAAGAACGGGATATCAAATATGGTACCAAAAGAGCTGGAACCAAAAATGGGATTTAGTTTGTTAAAATGACAGGTGTCTAGAGATGTTTTTTCCCATCCTAAATTTTATACAAACTATTTATGGTGGAAATTCTGAGTATGCCTGGGTCTAAGAAATATGTGATTGGCAATCCACCATTGAGAATTCACCAAGCTCCAATAAAACTATTTCACTTGAGCTCAGAAAATGAAAAATGCAGTAAGGCAGAGTTTTGCAGACACAAAAACAACGCAAGTTAGTTTCCCCATAAATATTTCCAAAACAGATAATTAAACTAATTATCTTCAAAAGTTTTTTAAACTAAGGATAACACATGTGTTTAGAGTGAAAATACCCAGCAGTAATGGTGCTACCTCCTACCACCTACATCTGCAGCCATTATAGCTTGCTCCCTGCTCAAGATAGTCCTGTCCACGTGAGAGACTGTAAGGCACATTGTTCTCTTTCCCCTACAGAGCCAGTGACATGACTCATCCAAAGTCTATAAGCCTTGCCTGCTCATTTCCAATTTCTTCATCTCAATTTAATAGCATCTTCCCTACTGTAAACATAATTACCTCAATACACCTTTGTCTTTTTTAATATAAAAATATATTTCTAATCCTCTCCTAATTGCACATGACCAATTCTATCTTAACCCTTCCTACTTCATTCCCACTGCCCTTCCACCAGTGGCAAAAGCTCTCTGGAGGTTGATTATTTACCCCTCAGACATTTGACCCTATCGAATTTGGCACACATTTTCTAAGTTCATATTACTCAAAAGAAAAAGAAGTTATTTTGGCTTTATTATTTATTCAGATGAAATATTGCACACTCCATTCTGTCATTCCTCACTTCTCCCACATCATATACAACCCCTCCAGACTGTTTAAAGAGCAAAGATAACAAAGGTTCCCTACTCTTTTCCCCACCTGCTGTTTCCTCACCTGTATAGCTACCCTATCCAACACAGTCACTGTTGTTATCCAAAAATCTGGCAATGGTCCCAGAATTTGAAAATTACAGTGGCACTTTCCCACTGGTTAAAATCCTTGTTTCTTTTTCGGCATTAATCACTCTTTTATAACTCAATATCCCCATTCTTCAGCAATTCCCTCTTCTGCTTTATATGCTGCACTCTCCCCTTTATAGGTGACCAACTCTCAATATCATTGTTTCACACCATTTGTAAACCCTGCTCTTTTCAAAAGATGTAGCTGGACTCTAACTTTGGTCTCCTGAATCACAGAGCATGATATAGGACTGATAACAATAGCCAATTACATCTGCACAAGTACCTGACCTTAACCAAATGTTTTCACATTCATCTTCCTCTTATTCGAGTCTCTCAATAATCCAGAGAAGAATGAATGTTCTTTCTATTTACTATCTGAGGAAACTACAATTCAGTAAGGATCAGATGACTATTCTGAGCCAAGAGATATTTAAATGATAGAGTCATGAGTCAAACTGGGAACTTCAAGGTCAAACCCCAACTCTTTCCCCAGACACATGTCTCAGAATATACTGAGCTCTCAAAGCAAGCCCTATGCCTTTGATGCAAGTTTACAGTGATAATGTAGCTTCATCCTCTTGCCTACTCTGTATCACCATTTTTACTCTATTTCCTATGCTAGCACCAATCCTTGACCCCACCCTTCCCTTTCAACTTCCCATGGATCTGCTAATTAAACCAAGCTCTTTTCTTCTGTTTTGAACATAGTCCTATTCTTTCTCTACTAGTACCTTTTCACCTAATGATTTACTCACACTGTGGCTCAAGAGCCACAATCTCTTAACCACAAATTCTGTATAAGTACACATTAATTTATGGTTTCAGCTCCATAATCTCCATCCTCTCTCTCTCTTGCCCTGTTGAAATCCTATAGCTTAGAGTGTAAGCTCCTGGTCGGCCCAGAAAGCTCATTTTGCCAGCTATGGGTATCATTCCATACAAAGCCATACATTCAAAGGCTCATAAACATTAACAATTATGATATTTTTAAAACAAATTATTCCTGTCCTTGATCTGAAATAATGACAAACCAGCTACAAAGACCACTAAGAACATTATTTTTATTCTGATTCAGAGTTCTTTAAATAGGAATTAGTTTATCAGAGTTATAAAGTAGATGACAAGGGAACATATTTTTCTGTGTGGTCCCAAAAGTATAACATGAAATTTGGAACAATTTGTTATTAGCTTCCCATCACCAGCAATAGTCCAGCTCTACTGCACAGCAAGGTCAACCCAGGTAAGAGAATCGCAGTTACTAGCATTCCTGATATAAGGAGGAGGTGGTCAGTTATTCCAATTGCATACATGCTCTGGAAAAGCACCAGGTGATTGCATATTACTTACCGGTTTGTCCTTGATGGTGGGACTTGACACACACAGGTACAGTTTCCCATCTTCTTCTAGGCAGGCATCTATCAAGGCTTGTACTGAGCTCTCCTCCTGGAAGAGCAGAAACGCATAGCCTTGGGGAGAACAAAAACAAAAGGACAGGGAGGAATCAGTAAATCAAACTCAAAGTACCTGTCTGTTGCTTCATTTTGACAAATTTTTACTAAAATTTAAGACATTCAAGTGGGACAAAGAGACTTGAGACCCCCGTGTGCTAGGCACTATGCTAGGTGTGCATGACATTACCTTGCTTAAACATCCCTGACTGAGCTAGCTGGGTGCTCCAACATTACCTTTTACTCAGGGGAGCAAGCTCAGAACACCTCTAAGGAATTTCTTCTAACTAGGTCTCATCATGATTAATGAGGGCAGGTAGATTCACCCTGGGCATGAACCACAACTAGCAGCCAGGAAATAAGCATCACTTGCCTCCAATTTCCACCAAGCTATAGGATACAACTGGGATGAGCCTTGAAAATATTATGCTAACTGAAAGAAACCAGACCAAAATATCATATCCAGAATAGGCAAATTAAGACAAATAATAGATTAGTGGTACCTGTAACCGGAGGGCTGGAGGGAACAGACACAGAGTTTCCTTTGGGAATGATAAAACTTTTCTAAAATTGACTGTGGTGATACTAAACTCTGTGGACATACTAAAAAGCAATGAACTATACATATTAAGTTGGTAAACTGTATAGTATGTGAATTACACCTCAACAAAGTTGGTTTTTACATATTAAAACTGCTACTACTGCTACTTTTCTTAGGGTTACCTTCCTAGCATAATATATTATCTATAAACATGAACATTAATTGCATGATTTCCCTGGACACAGTTTTTAAAACTGTATCCTTTATTGCACATAGTAATTGTACATATTTAGGGGCATAGTGTCATAAGCTGATATATATGTATAATGATCAAATACAGGGAATCAGCATTTTCCTCTCCTTAATACAGTTATCACTTCTTTGTGTTGGGAAGCTTTAAACTTCTCTATCCTAGTTCTTTAGAAAATATATAGGGCTGAGGGTATTACTCAGTGATAGAGCACACTACCTACATGTGAGAAGACCTGATTTAATCCCCAACACCAATAAAAATAAACAACTCATTGTGAACTATAGTTAAAATAAACAAGTCATTGTGAGCCTATTGATAGTTTAATTCAGTAAGATTTATTGATTAATTATTACAAGTGGGACATGGTCTATGCATTATGAGAACACTGAAATGAGTGAGACCAGATTCCTGAAGTCAAGAGACTTATGGAGCAGAATAAGCAGATATTTGGAAAAAACTATAACTACAAAGCTGAGGGAGAAAAGTGGGGTGGGCCGGAGGCAGTGCCACAGGAGCCCTGAGGAGTGAGGACTCTGATTTAGGAGAATCAGCAAAGACTTCAAAGAGAACAACAGATGTTCAGGGGGCCAACTCTGACACTTGTTGCCACAATGGCATTCATGAATGGCAGCTGAGCAAAGGCCCAACATGAGCAACTCTAAGCCTGATTACTCAACTATTCATCCTCTTTACAACCCTAATAGCTTTGCTAAATCTCTCAGCTGTCACCCCAATTCCCAGTCCTGCTATTGACCTCAAAGAAAATCATCACCAATACTGTTTTCTGGTGCTTTGTGCGCTGGAACAATGTAAATGGTGGAGAAGGACAAGAACCCTAATAAACAGAAGATTCTTATACATCATACAAAGATTTTTAATTCACAATCAACTGGCTATAAATCAAAGTCCTCTTGTGTCCCCGTAGGTAATAAAATCGTCACATAATGACAGCAGCAGTGGTAATTGCTGTTCTTTTATTTAGACTTTTCTTCAAACCTTCATCCACATAGAGAGTATTCAGGTAAGCACAGCAGGAAAAAGATGAGCTACTTCACAAAACACCAGGAAGTGGCCATTGTAACAGGCAAAAGCCAGCACACAGGCGAATGCACCTAGCTGAATGGGTGGGCTGGCAGCTACAAGAAAGAGGCTTTCTAGTGTTAGGACTTAAAACTGTTTTTTCTGGACTTTGTTCCCAGGCTAGCTGGGTCAAAAGATTCAGTAGGTGACTAGGCAGGAAAATAAAACCTAACTGAAAAAGTAGAAAAGATAATACATCATTTCTTTCTCCTCTCTTTTGTAAACAGTATCAAACTATCAACAAGTCCTGGGGACTTTATTAGAAATTCAGTGTTTTAATTTAGTGTAAGAACATTAATTCTACATGTCTAGAGAATATTAGAAATGAGTGAGTTAAAAAAATGCAAATATCACAAAAAGGAGGTCTGGAAAGTCCCCTTAAACTTCCTATCTTACCAGGCTAAATTCTGGTACAGAACTTCCACAAAGGTCATAAGGAAGTATACTGAGCATCTTACCCTTGGAGAGGAGCCCATTTGTTTGTTCATTATGCACAGTCATATCAAAAAGGCCTGAAAACCAAGCATGTCAACACATGCTTATAAACCCAGCAGCTGGGGAGGTTGAGGCAGGAGGATTGCAAGTTCCAGGCCAACCTTGGCAACTTAGCAAGACCCTACCTCAAAATAAAACATAATAAGGAGAAGGGAATGTATCTGAGTAGTACAGTACTCAGTGAGTTGGGGCTTTCTCCAGTTCCTTTCCTCTGGAAGGCCTCCAGCTGACAGCACCTTTCTTCCACACCACTGCTCACCCTCTCTGCTATCTCCCACATCAACTCCAGTTTTGAGTCACCCTTGAGCATCAGAGAAAGGGAAGTTGTCTCTCCATAGCACCTAAGTAGTTACCACAAAAGCAAGCAGATTTTCACACAGACCTATATCATAGCCATAGATGTCTACACTGGCAGTAGACGAGTAAAAACAACTATGACTCACAAGTAAAAGCCTGTTACAAATATTAATACCAAGAGAAAAGACATATAAAAACCTTTTTCACCTTTCCCAGGTAACAGTCCATCATAGTTTACCAATTTCTTCAGGATGGTTATTTTACAACAAATAATTTTGTGTCAAAACAATTCCTCTTTTCCAAAGTCTCAATATTGATAATATCTGTTAGGACTACAGATAAAGGATGTGTCTGAACACCCCTCTGAGCTGTAATCTAACAATTTCCTTCCACTTTTCTTCCCACCAGAATAAAATTTACCAGAATACCCATAGGCCATCCACGAAAACCTTGCCTAACTAAAATGCTTGATACCTTATGGCCAAGCATATCCTGATGACAAGAGAAATTACAGAATTTTTTAAACTCAGGAAGAAAGAATTCTTCAAACCCATTTCCCCTTTGATCTTGACAAGTAAATATAAGGTCAAAGTAACTAATGGACAAAAGGATATCCTCAAGAATAACAAGGTCAATGTAAGGTAGAAATTAAATCAATGATTTACTAAAGAGTAAATTCCACACAGTACTCCTGATCCTAGAAGAGTCCTGGATCAGGAGTCAGGAGGGCTGGATTTAGCTAAAGTCCTAACATTTACTAGCTGTATGATAGTAACAGCTAACATTTATTGAATGTTTACACCAGGCATTGACCTAAATGCCTTGTATGTATTAACTCGATTCATCTTCACACACACCCTATGGAAGCAGACACTATTTTAATTGTTTTATTACAGTTTAGAAAACTGCACTGGGAATCAAGTGTCTTGTTTGAAGTCATCTATTAAATGAAAGTACCATGAACTTGAAGCTGGGTATGAGGGCACATGCCTGTAATCCCAACTGCTGGGAGGCTGAGGAGGATGATTTTAACTTCAGAGTCAGCATGGGCAATTTAGTAAGACCCTGTCATAAAATGAAACAAAACAAAACAAAAAAACGGGGGATTTAGGTCAATGATACAGCACTTGCCTAGCATGCGTGAGGCCCTGAGTTTAATCTCAAGTACCATGATCTTGAATATTAATTTAACATTTTTGAGATTCAGGCTCTTTTCTCTATAAAATGAAGAAATTAAGTATTTGTCCTGATTATTTTACAGAATGTAGGTTGTAAGATAATATATGTAAAGGTGCTTTATGAACTAGGGGGTCCTGCAAGTGTTGATTTTTCATTTTCAGCACTTTCAATTATTTGTATGATATATAAAATTAAAATTGGGTTATTTCATATAGTCTCATTATAAAAATTAGAATTAAACTAATGATGTGCACTTTCTATTTTCCCTCTATAAGTGTTTGGTGAGTAAAGGGAAGTAACCTAGATACTGAAGAAAAGTCCTAATTAAAGATTCTGAAGATATGCTGAATAATATTACCATAAACAAACAATAAGGTGACTGAATATCTACTTTCACATATTCCTAGCCATTTCTACCAAGAGAGAACTGTGAGGGGTAGTATTATTTGCTAATTTTAATACATTCTTTAAAAGCTGATTATACCTATAAATACAGCTTCTCTAATCATTCTATTGATGGCAGGTTGTTCTATTAGTTTGGAAGGCATAAAAAACAAAATAGAACACTTGACCCAAAACTTGTCAACTCCCTCAGTTCTCCCTTGTAACTCTGAGCCAGTAACAGATAATAGGATTATAAAACTCCTCCAATTTCAGAAATAGTGACTTGAGGAGTGTGTGGGGGCTTCAGAAATGTGGTGAGCTGTGGGAGGCCCTTAGCCTAGGAACAGTCTATGGGAGGAGACATGGCTTTTAGAGGGAACAGGAGGAATTCTTGCTCACTGTCAGTATCATAACCCTGGGATGACAAGTAGAATGGATGGAAGGAAATTCTTTGTTTTCTCACTGGTACCAAATTGGTTGGAGGAAGAAGGGTAGAACAGCAAGGGACTTTAGGATGAGAATGATTGACAAGTACAATTTTCTTGGGGGAAAAAGGCACAGGAAAGTTGGGGAAAAAACTTAATTAGGATAATTCCATTTTATTTGGCCACATTTTTGAAGGGTAAATTTAATTGAAAATTTTTTCTCTTAATACCTGGGAACACATTAAGAATAACAATCTCCAAAATGTTCTTGGCTGCCTTAAAAAAAAAAGAAAAGCTTCCTCAGTTCTTAAATACATAATTTTTCAAAATATTTAATCCATGGTAAAAATAACAATCACCAACA